AAACAAGAACCCTGGATATTTCCTGTCATGTTTTAACCCCAGCTGGCAACTAAGCACCACACCACCGCTCATTCACTCCCCGCTGGTGGGATAGGGGAGAGAATTGGAAAGGTAAAAGTGAGAAAACTCACGGGTTGAGATAAAGATAGGTAAAGCAAAAGCCACACACGCAAGCAAAGCAAAACAAGGAATTCATTCACCACTTCTTATCAGCAGGCAGGTGTTCAGCCATCTCCAGGAAAGCAGGGCTTCACCATGCGTAATGGTTACTTGGGAAGACAAACACCATCACTCTGAACGTGCACCCCTTTCCTTCTTCCCTCAGCTTTCTATGCTGAGCACAACATCATACGGTATGAAATATCCCTTTGGTCAGTTGGGGTCAACTGTGCCAGCTGTGTCCCCTCACAGCTTCTTGTGCACCCCCAGCTTTCTTGCTGGTGAGGTGGTGTGAGAAGAAGAAAAAAAAAGATAGATCTAACACTTAGAACATATAGCATTATTAGGAGTCCAAAATGCCCTGGAGGGAGACTTCCAGGAATCAGAGGTTCCCTGAATGAGTAAGAGGATGTTCTGTTAGGTGTTTCATGTAATGCCAAAAATGCAACAAGAGATACAGCATCCTTGTTGAGGTGTGAAGGTTTCAGGATCTGCTGGATGGAATACTTCTTGAGCTAAACACAGGGTTGGAAAATTTAAAGTAATAGCAAAGTACTAAAAAATAACAAGAGATGAGACGTTATTGACAAAGGCTCCAGCCTGTCAATTATTAAGTCAGATGAGACCCTGCATTGAGTTAAAGGTCTATCCCCATCAATAACAACAAATATTGTCAAAGGAAGGGAGTTAAGGTTGTATGTGTACTCTCAGCTTGTCCAGGATTTTTAGCCTTTAAGTTAGCAGTCTTTGAAACCTTTTAACAGTATTATATGGAAGGTCTGATTAAACACAAGAGAAGCTTTAAAACCGGTAGTGTGGACTCAAACAAAAGCACAACACATACTTTTTTTTATCAATATTTTTTTAATTGTAACATATCTATTTTTGTATTGACCTAAAGCATATGCAGTATTGTCAAAGCATTCATTGTCTGTAATAAACTGGAAAATAATTTCATCTCCTTGAAACAGTCTGGAAGAACACAAAGACAAGAAGTTAAAGGACAGCCATACTATTCCAGTTATGGCTTCTGTCATATTTAGTCAGCATATAGGATACTTTCCTCTGCTTTACATCAGTCTTAATTAGACGTCTCTATTCCATTTTGTCTTCACCATTTCCCTCCTCCTTGCTTTTGTCTCCTGTCACAAAGCTGAAGTGCTGTGTTACCAGTTCATCTCTCTTCCATACCTCAGGATGGTACATGTGTCCAGAAACACAGGCCAAAACCAACAGATTTATCACAGCCTTAATGACAGCTGGCTGCATGCTGAGTGAATTCTTAAATTCCCCAAAACTACTTTTTTGCCAAAACATGTGGAGTTGCAGCATTCAACATTTTACTGGGACTGTTATCTCCAAATGAAGAATGACTCCACTGGAAAAAATTATTTGGTATCAGCTGCAGGCCTATTTTTAGCTTCTTGTTTGGTGAAACTTCAGAAAACATAATTAGCCATATGTTGAGAGATGTTTGCCAAGTATTAAATTCAATTTTTGCAAACCACATTTAAGCACTACCTTGTCTACAACTTTACACTGTTGGAGTCAGAAGACATGGGTTTTTTTAATGAGAATGTGATTCTTTGTATTTCTCTGAGTAAATATTTGTGTTTTTGAAGGTTGTAGAACTGGCAGTACTAAAGACTGAAATCTTCCATTTGTTTATATGGGAAGGTCTGTGCAGGCAATAGTACTGGAATCATCCTCTACTTCTGTCACTTATGAACTTCAAGACTTGCATTGGGGTGATGGTGTTCTCAGAGGCAGAAAAGTAGAGCAGGTCAGAAACATTCATTTCTCCCCCACAAGTATTTGTAGTGAAAACAGAACAAGATTACTTTAATCAAAAACATGTACAGAAAATGTTACAGTTATGTCAAAAATAAGAGTTTTCTACATGAAAACCATTTTTTCCCAAAGGAAATCTAAATAAACTGTCACATTTCAAACTGGATTAAAACAAATTGAAAGATTAAATCATATCTGACTAAATCTTGGTATGGAATTATATTCAGGTGCTTCATGATACCATCATATCCTCTGAACCAGAATTCCTGTTTGGGCTACTTTTCCTGTAATACAATTACAATTTCTCCTCAGAAAGTTTTCTACAAAATGAAATTCAGTTTTTGCTGCCCTGAAAAGGCAGTTTGGACTATGTGAATTGGATAAATGTCACCTTTGTATTTCTGTTCATAGAAGAAAAAGAAGTCTTTTGCTATAAGAATAGTAAAACTGGATTTTTATTTTTCTAGCAGGAGGAGAAGTTTTCTTTGGTTCCCCTCTGATTAGAGGTGGTCTGGTTCCAAATTCTCATTCCTTCATAAAGCTGCCAAACAGAAGAAGGACGAGATTTCTCACAACATTATGGTCCATGTCATGGATGGAGCAGAGGTGTATGAAGGCTAGAATGAAGGGAGGGAGGAGCATTTGGGACAGTTCCACACTGCTGGCTGGCCTAACAAAGCTTGCAATAAAAGTAGGGCTTCTGCAGCCTCTGTGTTCTCTGTCCCAGCTGTACTGACAGTAAATTCAAGGTAATTGGAAGTCAAGCCTCTTGGCTATAATCATTTAAAAACCACTCCCCATATTCTTCAGTTTCCACGTATTTGTATTGACTGCAAGCTGTTATCTATCTGTTTGACCTTTCTTTCATTGATTTGTTTGTCTTGCTCTTTTTCTGTTGACCTCATTGCCACTTGACAGAAATTTATGCAAAACATTTAGATTGCTGCTGATCTGTTTCTAGCAAGGTTAAAGAAAGAGAAATAGTGCTACTAAAAGCATCTATTGACAGGATAGAGAACTTGTATGTCATCTCTATGTTCAGTTGATTCTTGATGAACAGCATATTCTTACTACTAGAACCATTTTTTTCAACTGACAGTGGCATTGCCTTTTGCAGCTCACAGTGCTTAAGAAAGGGAGTTTCTGAGCCCTTATATGAAGATACACGTATAGGTGGCATTCTGAGGCACCTAAGTTAATGGTAATCCATTGAGATGAATCTCAAGATTACTACAAATCCTTTCATTACTGTCTCATGGCTCAATATTGAGTGAGTAACATCACCCTGTGTGATACAGTATAATAGAATACAAGGGTATAAATTTCCAGAATAGCAAAAAGCAATCTGAGGAAAAAAAATGTACATTTAATCACATTTCATTGAGTATTGACATCAACTGAGTTGCCATATAAATCTTTCAAAGCACAAATAGCATAAGTGTTGATCATTTAACTGTGCTTTTCTTGGTAAAATTTATTAATCAAGGGTTTGTTGTCTATAGTTACAGAAAACAGGATCTTACTTAACTGAATGTTTTTTTCGGTTGGTTGTTAGTACACCTGAGATGGAGGATTTATTTGGCATAGGTGGGGTAGGTGAGGTTAGTTCTTTCACTTAACCTGTTTCTCAGTAGCTGAAGGCTTTTCTTAGTTTTACAGATAACTTTATGTACAGGAGAATTAATTGGTTTAAATAGAAATAATTGAAAAGAATAAAACTTCCTATGCAGAAAAATAGGAATCTGCAATATCTGTTTTATGGACAAGGAGTAGGTAGGGGGTTTTGTTTTGTTTTCTAAAAACATTGAAAACAACATAACTTAGATGTTATACTGCAATGTATTGCATATAATACCTATTCTACAATGCTACTAAATACTTAAGAATTGTTCTCATAATTCTCAAAGAAGTTTATTTTTTCATGGTTCTTTGGTACTCATAGCACAGTCTAATTCTCATGACCTGTGAATTTAAATAGTTTTTCACATTCTGCTGTTAAGCATTTGGCAGCTTTTAATGACTTAATTTGCTCTGATTAGCTTACTCTATAAGTCTTCACTTGTAAGTGAAAGGATATTTTTAATTCAGAATGCATGCTAATATAACATAATCTCAGGTCTGGGGAAAAACAGTGAATCCAGCATGGATTTTTTTTTTCCCCTGATATCCAGATGTATAGCTTAGTAAACATTATGAACAAGTCTCTGCTTAGAAATTGTTTTAATTTGAAAACTTGAAAGACATAATCCCATCCTCCCTCAGAACACATATACTGCTGAAATTGCACATTTAGGGTTATGTTTTTCCTTTATTGGTTCCATTAATATCTATGAATAATGGCTTCCCATGTGGTAATCTAATTATTGTTTGAAATAATTGGTGAACTGGAACAGTGTCATAGATCAAGGAGGAAATTAATAAAAGAAGGGTAAAGGTGAATTATATGGAGCATGGGAGCTTAACTAGGAATAATGAGATAATGAAATTAAAGAAAAATTTTGATCGAAGACCAGTGACATCTACACAGTGAGTTCTGTTGAGTAGTAGAACTTGCAGAAGCTCTAGCACGTGGGATATTTAAAACTGAGCTGGATGAACAGGAAAAAATGGACTGTATGGAACCAATTCTTCACTGGCAAAGAGGTGGACTGGATGACCTAATATTTCATTTCCACTGCTAGCGCCTATAAGTCTGTTTGAACAAATACTTGGAATTCTGTATGTCTTCTAGCCTCACTTGGACTTCTTTTGTATCTAGCAGCAGGAGATCATTATCCTGTGAAAGTGCTTGACAGTAAATAGCTTCATTTTCAGTCTTTCTTACTGGACAAAGTTAAATCTGAGAATATGTAGAGCCAAATTGTGCCTACTTGTTTGCTTAGAGTAGCGAGGAGGAGAGAGCTCAGGAAACTACTTGTCCTGTGGATCACAAAAAATCCCCTTAAACTGGCCAGCAGCACAGGGGTTTTCAATGGTGGGAAATCAGCAATGACGTAATTGATTTTTTTACATTTTGAATTCTAACTATTTGCATTTTGTGTCTTTTACAGACCATCTGAAAGGAGAAATAACCCAGAGGCACATTCAGAGGGCAGCTCTAGGTAAGAGTAAAACAGTTCAGATACATCCAGGATACAACAGGGGCATCAAGCTCTCTCCCAGTGCTGAATCTGCATATGGGGCAGATTGTATTTTCTATGACAGTTTTTGCCACAACATTTCTACAATAATCCATACCATAAAGAACATGGATTCGCTGAACTTTGCCAGAGATTTAGCTCAACAGGTGTCTGATTTTACTTGTGGTGAGAAAAATAATGCAGAAGTCATATAGGTTTGGGGTTTGGTATTGGCTTGCTTTCTTTTCAGGGTGACCAAAACAAGAACAAAGACATCTAAGCTCTCCTCATTTTTAGGGTTGTTTTTTTCTTTCTCATGACTCTAATTTGGATTCCCATTGACAGACATTAATTTGTCCTGAGACTGAGCTTCTAGCCGTGTTGCCACAATCAGTTTAACATCCTTTTTCGTTTTCCTCATTTCAAGAGGGACTGAAGGCATATACAGGTCATTTCTTTCACATCTAGTTATAGAAGTTGAGAAGTTATTTCTTGCAGTTTCTGTTGACACAGCTGTGAAGCTAAAAGTGTGTTTGTGAGTTGTTCACACAAGTGCAAAGTCATCCAAATTTGGTGTAAGATGCTTTAAGCTGACTCCACTGACTTTGTACAGAAACAGCCTAGGAGTGATCATATGAGAATTCCACTTCTGGGACAGTAAACTTCAGCTAAACTGTGACAGAAAACTGCTCAGGCAATAAGAGTTTAAGCCCCCCTCACTTAGATCCATAAAAGGATCCCAAAATGTGCCTTCATGGACCTTCTTCACATGAAAGATGGAGCTAACTCAGACCAGATTGCAGTTGATGGTTTTATTTCTCTGTATACATAACACAGCAAACAATATTTGTCTCTTAATAAGAAAGAAAAAATTTGGGGGCTTTCCTTTGTCCCAAAAGTCAGGAAAATAAGTTACTGCAGAATAGCAAAATAGTTTCTCGTTTCTCTTTCTAATTTAGCCATGCATCTCAAGCTCTATTGATGATACTATTATTTTATACCTTTATCCTTTTTTATTTTTATTTAAAAATTGGCACTGAAAATTAATGCTGTCCATGTCAATAAAGCCCAGGAGTAAAACTCAGTTTATTTGGATCAGTATGAGAAGGGGAAGTGAAGGAGATGCTGATGTCTTCACCCTGGTATCCAGTGACAGGACATGTGGGAATGGTGCAAAGCTGCGTCAGGGGAGGTTCAGATTTTATATTAGGAAACATTTCTTTACCAAGAAGGTGGTCAAACACTGGAACAGGCTTCCTGGAGAGGTGATCCATGTCTCATGCCTGACAGTGTTTAACAATTATTTGGACAATGCCCTTAGTAATATGCTTTAACTTTTGGTCAGCCCTGAAGTGGTCAGGTAGTTGGACTAGATGATCATTGTAGGTACCATCCAACTGTTCTGTTCTGTTCTATTCTATTCTAATATCAGAAGTTCAGTTTAAAGGTGATATCTTCAGTATAACATGGAATTCTTTCTTTAATTTACTCCAGGTTTTAATACTGTGTATTTACTAATTTTATTGCACTTTAAGAAGTTACATCAATATGAGTCACAGAAATGCCATTTATGAGAATTCCTTATTCAGTGTTTCAAAAAACGAAGCAATGTATTCTGACTGTATATTTCAATCTGCATGATAACATCTGGTCTTGTATACTGATTTCTTACTAGATAGAAACTTGTGTTGCAAATGCTGTTTTCAATAACTATCTAAGCTGCTTTTCATAAACTAGGTAAGCATAATTTTTTCATGCCCCTAGGAAATGACATCATAGTGACTTTACCAGCTATACATTCACACTGTAAATATTCTACTAGTATTCCACAACATAGCAGGCAACCCATGTGTTTTGGGCTTGTGTTTTGAGCATTGCTATCTGCTTATCATCACTAAGTCTGGACCGCACAAAGTATTTTCCAGACTTTTTTTTCTCCTTCATTATTCTTTTAAATACTCTGGATATTTTGACTTAGTATTTATTCTGAGAGTTGTAGAGTATTATTTTCCTGCCTTTTTGGATGAATTTTCTTCCAAGGAGTAACAGGTGTCAAGTCTCCCAGAATGTTCTTGATGACCAGAATGTCATCAAGATATTTTTACATGAAAACTGCATGGTAAAAAGTCTAATTAAGAGTCTGTTGAAATCCCAACATGAAATAAAACACACCATTGTTTCAATTAGAAACCAAGCTAACAGCTTCCAGCTGCCTTTTTTTTTTTTCCTTAACTTAAAGCTTTTTATGGTTAAAACTCTTTAAGAAGATATTCTAGTTGGATTTTAAACAGTGTAGATCTGTTTTCCTCATGGCTATGCTTAAGATGTGGATTTCTTATTGAAGGAAAACACTACTTAGCCCATTGTTCTTAGCTATCTCTTTTAAAACACCATATGCTGGGAGCTAACAAAGGACACAAATAGATGGGAGGTTTCATTGGAGGCAAGGGAGTGCTCCATATTTTTCAGCACACAACCAGAAACATCAAATACTTTGTGTAAAATTGCAAGGATTCACTCTCAGTATGAATTTCATCTTTATTAATTGTAAGAATACCTTATTATACAAATAACTTCTTTTCTTCAATAAGATATTTCAGAGTAACATGCTTAACTGCATTTTTAGGCAGTATTTAAAATTACTTTTGCATGCTTAACTGTATTTTTAGGCAGTATTTAAAATTAAATAATGTGCACACTATTGAAGTACTGACAGGGCAAAAACCCTGGGTCACCAGCATGCTTCTGGCTGGAAAAGATGGAAGAAAAGAGTGGAAACAAAAGCTTTCCCTTGGGTTTCCAATGTTGTAGAAGGAAAATACATATTTTATATGATTCCAATTAAGCATTATCTTAAGATATTTTAATAGCATTTCGGTAAAATACAGGACCTGGTTCTTCATTATCTTCCAGTTTTGCATTGATAGAACATGATTACAAACAATCAGGCTAATGTAATAATATTCTGCAGCACTGGGGGAAGACTGAATCCTAAGTTGGACCTGCCTGATGACATAGGAAATCCTATGACATATTGTAATGGGAAGATACTTCTATGGGGATGAAGTCATGCTAGCAAAGGCATGTTTTGTACAATAACTTTCCATAACAGAAGCAACTGTACTGAGACGAGCAGAGTTTTGTCTATTCAACTACACCTTGAGTAGAGGCCTCTGTTGGGTCAGCTCTGGAAGTTAGGGAGGACCCTTGAACATACTCCTGGCTGATCTGTCCATATCAGCAGAATCATTTAGTAAATCTACAAGTCCCCCAAGCTGTTCAGTCAGCTTGAAACATCCTGACAAAGCTTCATACAGAGAAGGATCATTCATTATGTGCAGTGTGAAACATGTTTTCTAAATTAACATGAATGGTAGAGACTGCAGCAAGTGATGCAGCATCTTCAGCACAGCATGCAATTATCAATAATTGCAGTTACTTTATCAGTTTAGTTGAAACGCAGCTTTACAGCTTTCCATTTCAAATAATTTTCTTATTCATCTTGTTCTCCATGAGCCTCCCTTCTCTTCTGATGTAAGTTTTGAAATCTGGGCTAGCAACAACCTGTCAGTTCTTTTGGGATTCTCCTGAAAACATCAAGAGATGGCAAAACCTTTCTGCTTCTGGGGAGGTTTGTTGGGACCAAATTAATCTCTCTTTCTGTCCATTGTCTCTGTAGAGCTATTTAAAAAGAAAAAAAAAAATAGGTACAATCTAACATGGGTAAAGATGGGTATTTGTAATGAATCTGCATCCTTTGGAAGCATTTCAGCATTAAGGCTCAGTTTTATCATCATTATATTTAAAAAAAAACATGTTTTTATGGGTTTTGTAACTTGGTTTTTGGAAATAAAATTTATTCTGTCTTTCAAAGACCTGATCCCAAGTTCTTTTTTGAGCAAACTTCCTTTGAAAAAGCCCATTCCTCATGCAAAATAAAATGACTAGGTGACTCAGAAATAACATATATTTGAATCTCTGAAAATGCATACCAACATTTGATTTAGAGCAGCAGAAGGATTTTGGCATCTCTTGTTTTTATATTTGGATTTGTAAAACACATTTAAGTAAAAATAGTGAGCTTTTTCCTTGTTTGTTCCATCTATAGTTTTGTCTACGTCATCTTTTCCTACATGTTCAAAGTTACATACCTGTTCTAAAGATAGTAGTATCAGTTTATGCCCTTGATCTGCTCTGCTATGTATTTCTTTATGGCGTGTTTCTTTCTGCTTCTTCACCTTTCCTTGATTAGAAGTGAAGGAACAGTGTGATCAGTACCAGAAGAAAGCAGGGACAGACAGTGCTGTGTAAAGCATCAGGGTTCTACTGCAGTAATAATCCAGCCAGTGTTAGGAAAGAATTTCAAAAAAACTACTCCTCCCATGCACCAGGTTGTCGTGCTCCAAGAAGCTGCCACTACCATATATTCTATACCTGTTGGGATGCAAATAAGTTGTCTGATGCATTTCTGCATGTCTGGAGAGGTAGCACTGGGAACTGCTGCTCCCACTTGCCCAGAGTGCGATATCATAGAATCACAGAATGGTTTGGGTTGGAAGGAACATTTAAAGATCATTTAGTCCCACCCCCCTGCCACAGGCAGGGACATCTCTCACTAGATCAGGTTGCTGAAAGCCCCGTCCAACCTGACCTTGAATGCTTCCAATATAGCCCATGCCACTAGAAAGGCTGGGCCACCATGTTTTTTATCTGGTGAGGATATAAGGTATGTTTAGGGAGTGTATGATCGTTCTCTCTGCAACCGTAGCAGCATCCTGCAGACATATATAACATGAATGAAGCTAATAATTAATAACTGTCTTGAACTCATCTACTGTGATCTGTGTGAACGGAAAGCACATAGCATTTCCAAACTGCTGTTTTGCATCAGAGTTAAACTTTTATTTAAATAAATCCATATTTAAATAAAATGAGCTCAGTTTCTTCCACTGCTTTACATCTTGTAACTGAGATGCCATTTA